CCAGTGACCAGTGGTGCAAATGGGGATGATAGATTGAGAACAGGGGGACAGCAGTGTAGGCCACTTTCAGATCCTCTTTAGGATGGGATGGAGCCTGGGCACTGCTTGCTTGCTCAGCGTCCACTTTGTGGGGATGGCTACTTATACAGTGAGTTTGAGAATAGGACTGAGAACCCAAGGAGAGAGTTCCCAACCACTTTCTGGAGAGGTGAGAAGCAGTTAGCTCAAAAGACCAGTGAAACAGCGAGGGACTAGCTGAGGCTAGAAAACCGGAATCTGTAGTAAACCTCGTTTCTTCCTTTACCACCATCTTGATAATTCTGGGTATTGTTGTTGGGAGAGGAATATGGTAAGATACAATGAAGTCACTGAACACTGGCAGCTCTCATGGGCTCATGGCTTGCTAGGAAAAGGTGCTCTTTGGGGAGCATGAGAGCATAAGCCATGGTACAAACTTAAGAAAGTACACCATTGGGCTGGGATTCTATTATATGAAGTTGCTCTCAAAGTCTGAAAATAAAAGCTTTGGCTTTACTCTATCCAACATTGACATGCAGAGGAAGAGATGAGTAGTTTTAAGATATTTAGAATTATCCAGAGCTAGGCTTAGTGCCAGTCCCCAGTGGCTGTTGGGGGTTTTTAAGACCACATGTCTCAGGGCTAGATTTCCCAAGACACTTCCTCCAGCGAGTCTTTGGTACATTTCTGAAATTGCTAACTCCACAGTTAGTCTGCAAGGGAGGTACACCAGTCACAGGTTCGGTGTAGCAAATTGGTTAATGAATGTGGTCCAGTTTTGGAGACAGGAGGAGAGAAGATGAAAGTCTAGGACAGGAAGGATTTGGCATAGCACATAGTTGAGATGAAGTGAAGAAGTTGGTATGACAGAAAAGTGCCTTAAGCTAGCCTGGGAAACAAAATGTCCGGCTCAGCAAAGTCCTGGCTTGTTCAGGCTAGGATTAGCTCATAGGAGTGTGAGCTGTTTTGGGGAGGTTTGGAATTGCCACGTATCTCGAAGTGTCTCTTGTCTTCAAGAGATGTCCGAAGTGCAGTTCCAGGAAGCACTTGAGAGGATGTTGGGCAGGACCAAGCCATAGGTGGCACTGTTCTGCTACATGCCCATCCCTCAAGCATCAAGGCCACTGTTGGCTGTGTACAGGTCAGGTCTCAAGTCAGAGATGAGCTCCCTCTACTGGTGAGAGGTTTTAAGAAAAATGCTGTTGGACACTTGTGGTTTAAGTCCCTAAATACCAACAGTATGCAGTCAGTGCTGAAGGAGAGGCCCCTATCCCACTATTAACTGCCAGCCTCATGACAACACACAGGTAATGTGTCTTAGTTTGATGTAGTAAGTGGAAAATGGGTGATCTTTGGGGGTCTTGGAGTGGGAATCTCTCTCCTGAGGGGTGATATCCAGAAAGGGTTTGAAGTTGAAGAGATGCTGAGATTAGGGATATCTAATTGGGAGCAGCTTCTCAGCCATTTTACCTCCCACTTCACTATTTTGCAAATGTACCTATCATATCTTTAGCTTATTCTATGGACCAGTATGAGAACTGATTATGTATGAAAAACTGCATTTTTATATAAATTCTCTTACCTCTTCCTACAAAACTGTTTTTTTTTTTTTTTTAGTTTTTCGAGACAGGGTTTCTCTGTGTAGCCCTGGCTGTCCTGGAACTCACTCTGTAGACCAGGCTGGCCTCGAACTCAGAAATCCACCTGCCTCTGCCTCCCAAGTGCTGGGATTAAAGGCGTTCGCCACCATCGCCCAGTCTTGAAACTCTTAAAGAGTTTCACCTTCATCTTTTTATTGTTACTTGGCTTTTTGTGTCCCACAGAATCTGCTTTGGGAGTAGGGACAACATAAGTTGCTGTGGGAATGGAAGATTGAACATGTTTGTGAGCATTCCAAACTCTATAGCAACAGACTGTTTCCCAAGAGTGGATGATAGCTGCTGGCCTTTGCTACCTGAGTTTCAGCCGATGTGTACTTTCTAACAGTGTGCTGGACAATGACTGGCCAGGCAAGACTGGGGACTTTTTAAGTTACAAGGTGACAAGTCCTATCTGACCCCAAGTGTAGTCTGGTCCATCAAACAAAATGGGATTAAAGGTTCCACTTGGGGTCACATAGTGGCAAATATAAGAACTAGGATAAAAATAAAACTTGGGGGGGGGATAGAATAGGTGGTTTCTGGGAAAAATAACACTAGATATAGACAGAAAAACTTGAGTTTCAGTTTATCTTATAAATGATGAAGTTTAAATCGAGCATTTGTCTCCATGTACTATTTAACTCCAATTTGGAGCACATTCTTCCCTTAAATGCCCCTTGACACCTTGACTAGTAATCCCAGCCATCTGTTCTTTGATTTGTAAAAGGCTAGATGAGCCTGCAGAATCCTGGAATATAATCTTTGTCCCAGACAAAGGATTTCTACCCCAAGCTTTGAACTATCTAAGTGGTTTGCTCAAGACTCATACCAGATTTTGTTGAAAAATATTTTGTGACTCAGCAGATCAACAAAACAAAACAAAACTTGATTTTGCATTTAAACAGGCTCTTAGGTGAGGCCAATGCAGCTGGCCCATATACCACATTGCAGTAACCAGATCTGGATACAGCATTAGAAGTAAAAAATTCCTAATGAACTCAGGTACTCAATAGCAGACCTGAGGGCAAGGCACTGGCTGGGAGTAAGGAAGCACTGTTATGCATCTCTGCCACGTCCTAACAATAACCAGAACAACCAAGAGAACTCAGGAACAACCAAGAGAACTGCTGCATTTGAGCAGAGTAACTGTTGATTCAGGAAATTCTGTTGAGTAACTATCTAGAAGTCAGGGAGGGAAATATTTATTTAGGTGTGTTTTCATTACATGATCACAACAGTTATGCCACTGTAATAGGCTAACAGGACATGCTAATAGGCTTTGTGAGGTGCCATCTGTCAATTGACAGCAGTAGTGGCTTTTAGAATATGCTGCCTAGCAAGTAGCGTGAAGCTTTTTATGGGGGAAGTAGGCCTGAAAATCTTGTTTAACTTAAAATTCTAGACCTTACGTACTTTGATTTTTCCTGAGCCTCTTCCATGTGCAGATCATACCCCTGTGTGTATGTGTGTGTATATGTATGTATGTATGTGTGTGTATGTATGTATATGTGTGTATGTATGTGTATATGTGTGTGTGTGTGTATGTATGTATGTATGTACACACATACATACATACACACACGTTGGAGGCCAGGGGTTGATGTTCAATGAGTTCCCTTATGATTCTCCATCTGTTTTTTGAGATAAGGTTTCCTAATTCAGCTAGGTGGGTTGGCCACTGAGCTCTATAGACCCACTGTCTCTACACCTCACCTAACTCTACAGATGGACGTTCCTCTGCCTCACCTTCACAACACAAACCTCTGTGTATATGTATGCTGTGTGTGATCAGAGGCCAGGAGAGGGTGCTAGATCCCCTGGAGCAAGAATTACCAAGTGTGAACTGCTTGAGGACATGCTGGAAACCAAACTGGGACCCAGCCCGCCAGGCCTCATGTCCTTGTGTGGAAGGCACTTCACTAAGCAAAGCCATTTCTGCATTCTCCTTGCCCCTAGTTTTAGAAGACAATTGCCTGGTCAATTGCCTCTCCATTTTGTTTATTTTTTTTCTCCTCTTCTGATTTTGGTGGACAAGCTGCTGTGACATTTGGAAACAGTGCTGTTTTCCTTGGTTCTTATATACTCTGTTAGTGACAAGGCTGTTAAGATCTACAGTAAATTTCTGAAATCTCTTGAGAGCAGATATTCTGACAGTTGAAGCTTTCATAGACTTGTACAGGTTTTATCCTTATGCCCTCTGATAAACACATATACATTAGTCATGTGTGGAAGGAAGTTAAGTGACTATAAATTGCTCCCAGGTCTCTTTACTAAGAAATGGTCTTAATTTTTGGTGGGTTGTGTTGTTAAGACCCGTTGAAGTGTTCTTAGTGAAGGTAGGGTATGTCTATACATACATCGGGCACAACCCAAACTTACTACCTGCCACTTTGTGTTTTTTCAAAAGTAGAGGACTTAAAAGTTTCAGTGTGTTGCTGCTGCTTCCACACCGTCTTTTCTGTAGATACTAACACAATCATCTAAGAGTCTGCCTAGCATTATGTGCAGGGCCTTGGCTGGAAGACCAGAAGCCCCTGCTCCATAAATAGGAATTCATTTCAGCTTTGGCTTCTAACAAGTAAGTTATTTCGGTGGCCCAGAAGTACTGTTTCCTAATCAAGTCCTAAATCCCAACCTTGTATATGTCATCTTCCCCCATCTGGGGCTGGGGGGTGTTGAGAATTCAAACCTAGGGTCCTGTATACGCCAGGCAAGTGCTGTACTACTGAGTGACAATTCTTGCCCCCTGTTCTGTAATCTTATAACTTAACAACCTTATTATTTTGTAACATAGTTAAGCTTGGTTTCAGAATTTGTTCTAATTTTTGTCAGGTACTTTTAGATACACTGGGCCCACATTTTCCTTAACCTGTAAAATTTAGGTTACCCTCACTTTTTTTTTTATAGAATTGGCTAGATTAGATTTTCTTACGAAAATCATAAAACCTTTTGGTCAAATAATTGTTTATACTACTGAAGTCTTAGTAAGTTGGAGAAGAAAATACACTGGACTATATAGCACTCTGGTCCCACCTACCAGCACTAGGTATTTTTAGGTAATCAGGACCACTTCCTGTGTCGCTTACATTCCTATTTCTTAAGTCTGGGCATCATCCCCCATTACTCCTCCTGTTAGGAACAGTAAGTAATCCCTAGCAGCACATGCACTCCTCAGTCGGCCTCATTTCCCAGAACCATTCCCACATTCCCATTACCACAGCCTTTTTATTTGGAAGACATCAAAGGGCCAACTCTTGGTCTGTCCATTCTCCTCGATTCCAGCTTCCACTCTGGCAGCAGCCAATCCAAGTCATCTGGCTTATAAACTCTTGTCTCTTTCAGGACCGAATCATCAATTTAGTTGTTGGCAGCTTAACCACCTTGTTGATTCTAGTAAGTATCTTTGTTTTGTTTTGCCAGTTTTGAGAACTTTTAGCAACAATTCTCCCCAAACAAAAGACTTTTAAAGAGGGCACAAACATGTAAAATGTAACAGTCACAGTAAAGAGTAAAGCAGTCAACCGAGTTTGCCACTGTTACCTGCTTAGTAAATCTGTCACAGTGACAGCGACATTAACAAACTCCTGTCAGTGATCGTCACTTCTCCCATTTCTTTTACTGCCTTACACGTACTCTGGCCAAGTTTTAAAAGACTTAGCTAGGCTATAGTTAATTTTTAAATTCTGTATAGCACATTAGAATACGTGTGATATACATTTTATATAGGTCTGTCAGACTAAAAAAAGCTAGTTTCTAACGTCTGATAAACAAGGATTAAATCTGTCAGGAGAACAGACCTTAATTTGTCCACTGCTTCTTAATCCAAGGTAGAAACAAAATGGGGGTCACTCACCATCTAATAAAGCTCAGCCAGACCAGCTTTGCGCATATTCAGCCATTGTTTTTCTTCTAATTTTGTCATTTTAATTTTCCATAGCATGTTGGCAATATTGAAAACAACTAGACATTGACAGCTTATTGCCTGAGTGTGTGCCACACTATTTTGGGGTACAGTTTTGGTACAATGGAATGCTTCCTGAGTTTGCATGTCATCCTTGTGCTGGAATTGTCCTAATCTCTCTCTTGTTCCAATTTTAGTTTATGTTCTGCTGAAATGAGCAAATACCAAGATAATCAGATTAATTTTGGGAATGAGATTTATTGTTAATGTTGGTTGGTTGGTTGGTTGTACTTGTTTTGCCTTCTTTCATACTTGCTGGAAAAGTTAGAAAGAAGTGTTAAGTGACTTGAACATGATTTTATGATGCAAGAAGTATTACCTTACCTCTCCCAGTCTAACCACACCTTGGAATCTCGCTCCAGGCCTTACATATTTCTCTCCATACAGGTAACACTGATCAGTGCTTTTGTGTTCCCTCAACTACCTCCCAAACCACTGAATATATTTTTTGCTGTCTGCATCTCTTTGAGTAGTATTACTGCCTGCATACTTGTGAGTACTATATAGAATTTAAACATTTGTAAGCGCTTACATGGTATTGCTTAGACAGATTGCTAGCCCCTGTGTCTATAGAATAGGGCATCTCTCCTTTAATCCCCCCAAATTTGCTTCTAATAAGTACACATGGGTCCACTTTGATTTGTGATCCTCCCAGAATATAGACAATTAACACCACATTTGTCAGGAAACAAAGAGACCCCTTTGTGTACCAAAAACAACCCCACCCCAGAGGATGGTGGTTGGTTCTTGTCTGTTATTTAGGTTATCTGTTAGGTTTGCCTTTCTCATGAAACAGGAGAACCTTGGTGTGGAGGTTGTGCTTAGTAGGAGGGGTGATATAATGTGCAGGGGAGCTGTATCATAGATACATCTCCGCTTTCCTTTTAAAAGTTCCCCTCGTGCAGGGGAGCTGTATCATAGATACATCTCCGCTTTCCTTTTAAAAGTTCCCCTCGTGCAGGGGAGCTGTATCATAGATAGATCTCCGCTTTCCTTTTAAAAGCTGACATTCCAGCCCTCCAATAGCAAAGAATTTTCACTTTTGAAAAAATAATTTTTTTTAACAATTGAATTGTATGGCTCAAAACCTCTAAAACCATTTTTAAAATAGCAAAAGGTTTTTCTTCTTCTTCTTCTTTTTTAAAAGAGATCCTTAAATTGTTTCAAACCTACATAGGTTTTAAGCGGTAACACTTGTTCTACCGCCCTGAGTGACCAAGGTTGAGATAGTTAACTTATGTATTTACTTATGTAAGCCCTCTTGGATATCTAATCTGAGTAAGTTACATAAATCTTAGTGCCCTCCTTCTAATAATTCATATTCTTATCTAGCTTGATTAGTATACTACTTTGACATTAGAACCCAAGAAATAACGAAGACAGGAATGCATACGATCTTGGACCACAGGAACACTTGTTAGCACTACTTGAACCATAACGAATCAAACTGAAGACTGTCTCGGGACAATAAATTCTAATGCTATCCACATAAAAGAAGCATCAGGTGTATTTAACACTGTAACAACTGGTCATTACTTAAATTTTTATTTGATTCTTCTTTTAGATCTACTGGTATCGACAAGGAGACTTAGAACCGAAATTTAGAAATCTAATTTACTATATCTTGTTTTCAATCATCATGTTATGTATATGTGCGAACTTGTACTTCCATGATGTGGGAAGGTGAGGCTGCAGAGATGAAATACTCACCAGGACTCTTGGAAATCTATGTGAGTTTAACTGCTGCAAAAAAAGTATACTGTGGACTCACCTACAGAAGCCTGGCCATGAGCTTTCATGTTACCGTAACTCTGAATCTCCTCGTGCAGGGGAGCTGTATCATAGATACATCTCCGCTTTCCTTTTAGAAGCCGAAACATTCCAGCCCTCTAATAGCAAAGAATTTTCACTTTTGAAAAAATAAATTTTTTTTACAATTTAATTGCATGGCTCAAAATCTTGCATTTTAAGACAAATACTCTTTTATTTCTGTTAAACTGAATATACAATTATTGTTCCCTAGGCAACCAACTTTTGCTTATTACTACAGTTTCACATTAATAAACAGATGGTGAAAAGACAACTTTGATTGTGAAGATCTAATTACAATAATAAATAAAATAATTTATACAAGTTTCCTTTTTTTTTTTTTTTGACTTTTCTATAAGGATCATATCATTAAAGCCCTACAGGCTAGTTTTGGCTTTACCTTAGGAATGACTCTTGATTTCTTTTGATACAGAAGCAAACTTTGTTTTTAAAAGTGCCTGAGGGAGAAGCTATACTGTACCCCCGCCAGGTAATGCACTAAGTGAACAGCATACTCTAATACCCCTCAGCTATCTTCTGGGCAATTTATATAGTAAAACGTGGAATAAAAAGTCATGGTTATCAGATACAGGCAATGTTACCTTTCCCCTCATTTAATTTCACTTCAAAGTGCTAACTGTAAACTAATGACTGGTTTCTGGTGAGGGTTGATAACTGCTTTGTTACCAGTGCATTTTGTTACCACTTTAACCGCATTCCCTTTAAAAGTTAAAAATCAAAGACCTGTAGTGAATTTTTTTGACTCTGTAATGCTTTGCTCTTTACCCTGCCTCAGTCAGCTCCCACTGCCAGCAATGGGTTAAGCATCACACCCACCTCCCGTGATGCTGCAGTTGGATGCTGGTCATGTCATATACTCCTGCCTAAGTTAGTCCTTCTGAAAGTCACTGCTAACATAAGCTGGACCATGTGGATAATATAACCTGAATTATAACCAGACCAGCTTGAGTCAGGACAGTGCTTGGTGTCTAACTGTGGAGATGAGTATTACTGCTTATACTTAAACCAGAGTAGTTAAGCTTTGGTGAGATACGTAGCTGCAGTGACTGCAACCCCCTCTTGACACAAAACTTTACAAGACTGGGCAATTCTCGCTTCCTGTCCTCCATCAGAACACACTGTTATAAAGTTGGACCTCAGGTGATCTACTTACAAGGAGGTAAAACGTAACAGCAGCAACGATGTGCGTGGCTTAAGCGCGGCAGGCAGGCAGCTACGCACAAGCCAGAGGAACGGCAAACCAAAACTCGGGACGGCTCCTTTCTTTGGAGACAATGTAGTCACAATGTGGCTTCTAATAATCTAATGACAGTTTACCAAGTCCTCAACATCCTTTGAGTCTTCAGAAACAGGACTGCCCAAAGATGATCCAATTATATTTGATTCCTCCTGATGATGTTGGAATATAGGATCTGTAATGAGTTAAATTTAAAGTTAGCATTACATGTATGTTACTGATTCTCCATTCAGTCCAATATTTTACCAAAGTGTAGGATTTAGCCAACAAGAGAACATTGATAGAACAAGAGAAAATTAGCATGGCTGCATAAAACAACTGCCTGATCCCACCCCCACCCCCTTACTGTTTATCAGGCTCACGCAGTATTTATCACGTCTTGGTAGAGTACCTGTTAGTGTTGTCAAAGGCAAGACAGATTCGGTATCTATAACATCAGACGCCTGGATAAAGCCTTGTGGTGAAGGAACGATAAGTATTGTTTCATCATCAATTGTCTGATGAACTTGGTGTACTATGGTAGGAGACTCTAAATCCTATATAATATTTTAAAAGAGAAAACAAAAACAAAAAAGAGAAAGAGAAACCAATTTACATTTCCCAAGTAAGTCCATGTTTGTTAGTACTTAGCTCTCAAATATATTCCATTTTAAAATTAGAACACAAAGGTTAAGACCTTACAGAAAAGAATTATGTTGCACTGTGGGATATATGTAATTCCTAAAATCTTCTATTACCCATACCACCCAAAGGTGATCCAGCAGTCTATGCCAACATATGCCTCTCAATTTGTTGCCTGTGGAGAGAGGACACTTCAGCAAGGAACTATATGCCCAGCTGTTGCCGTTTATTTCTGTCGGCATCAAGAACTCCTTCACTTACACCTTTGAGTTTATGCTCTTGAGTCTAAAGAAAACAGGAAGGCACTAGAGCAACGGATCTCAACCCCTTTGTGGGTTGTGTATCAGATACTTACATTCCAATTCATAACAATAGCAAACTTATAAAGTAGCAACGAAATAACTTTATGCCTGGCATCACCATAACATGAGGAACTGAATTAAAGGGTCTTGGTGTGGGGAAGGTAGAGAATCACTGTACTCCAGAGTATCTCTCCTTTAAAGTACCAGTGAAGCCCAAAACAAAACAAGCTACAGTCTTCCACACAGCTTACCTCAGTAACATAAGCACTGGCTAAGTCGGAAGGCGGTTCTTCCTGCTTAAGGTCAGTGTCGGCAATTTCTTCCTCTGTTCTGACCATGACACTATTCATCAGTTCTGTGCTATTTTGGTCGCTGAATTTAGACATGTGAGCATTATTAAATGATGGTTGTATAGTCATCTTAGGCCGAGGAATTTCGTCTGGGAAAGTGTCTGCTTCTAGTGCATCTGGAGGCTCAGGAAAATCAGATGAATGAAGGTCACTATCAACTGTCAGTTCTGCTTGGGAGAGTGAAGAAGTGATGTCCTCTGTAGCAACAGTTTGAATGATGACTCTTGGTGTGTGACACTGTACTGTGACATTGTCGCTTGTGTTCAACAGGTGTTCTGGCTGTAACATTAAAGGAAACTATCAATGACAAAATGACTAACTGACCGTCTCCCTTTCCCATACCTTTTGCCTCTGCATCCACTTCATCACTTTTCTAGCCTGTGTTTACGACCCCTTCGAGTCCCTTCCTCTTGTACATTTCCTACTTGAATGGTATCACTCTTTGTTAAAGAAACAGTGGAGATTACAGGTGTACCCAGGAAAGAACTGCATGCAAAATACTGTGCCAAGAACAAGAAGTATGAAATACTCTGATACCCAAACTACTTTACATTTTTATCAAGTAATCAGGCATTCAAAAATTATATAACATACGGATAAAGCATGAACAATGATCTGTTCAGGAGAAGCAGGAGCAGCAGCTGCCAGGGTTACTGTGGGACTTGTGGTCAGTGTTAGGGGAAGGCCTTGACTTGAGCTTGTCTGAAGAAGGTAGGTGCCTGGAGTACCAGTGGGCTGTAAATGGAAAGACTAAAGAAGAGAAAAGAGATTCAGCATAGGTACAAAAGCCTACAGATTAACTCTACATCTATATTTAAGGCCAACTTGAATTTAGTAGCTAGCAACTGCACTTTCCAATCATGAAGGTAGAAAATGATGAAGTGAACATTCTTTATTATGTAAACTGTCTCCAACCATCTGAGATATAATGAATATAGCATTTACTATGTCTTTTGCTCCTATGCATTTCTATGTTCTAGTTTCAGCTGGTTTCAATACAGTAGTTTAAGGAGCCACCATGGGCAATGCAGGAACCCAATTTTCAATCACCTCTTTAAACTTTTTGAAGTAGTTAAACAAATTTCTAAGACGAGCAAGATGTCTTAGTGAATTAAGGCATTTGCCACCAAACTGGAGTTTGATCCCCAGGATCCAGCAAGTAGAGCAGGCTTGCAAGTTATGCTTTGACCTCCATCACCACTAAGGTATGTGCCCGCCGCCCCCATAACAAGCTGCATTGATACGGTTTTAAAAGGCATATTAGCAGTGCTTATTGACTTGAATGTTTTTATAGAGCACTGTTAGGAAATATTCATGTATTCAGGAAAATGAAGACACTTATTTGAAATGAGATGGTTAACTAGAAAAACGTGTCTCTATGAGGAGTCTGGGTTATCTTAATAACCTACAGAATAAGTATTTTTATATATTAGGTAGTGGGTAAGCTGGATAATCAATTTTTCAATTTAATACTGTCTTGGCCAAAATCCTTCCTATGTCTTGAATCCCTGATACAGGTTTTCTTATTGCTAACAAGGAGATAATAGCTATGTCTCATGGAAAGGGCCTGTAGACATAAAAACTGTTAAAGTGCCTATCACCCACTGAGAAATTAAGTTTTTCTCTGCTTACTCAAAAAATGAAAAATTATTTAAAAAATATTTTTCTAAATGTTTTAAGTATTTACTGCAGATAGCAAGGAATACTGTATATACACATATACATTTCAAGTGTTTTAATAAACTTAAGTATATATTTCAAGAAAATTACATGTATGGGTGTTTTGCCTGCTGTTTGTATGCCTAATATGTTCCTCGTGCCCACCATGGAAAGAAAAGGGTAGAATTGAAATTAGCGATGGTTGTAAGCTACCCTGTAGGTGCTGGGAACAGAGCTTAGGCCCCTTGGGAGAACAGCTACGGCTCATACTGCTGAGCAAGTTCTCCAACCCTAGACAGACTCTTAAAACATTTTGTACAACCTCCTAGGTAAAAACCCATAACAACACCCAGTACAGTTTCCCCTTTAACTCCTTTCCCCAAGTAAAAATAATAAGTTCTGATTCTATCACTGTTAAATATACTGTACATTCCCACTGTGAGACCACTTTAAGTCAGAAATGGAAAGAAAATCTGTAGGTACTCTGGCAATCTTCCAGGGAGCTAGCAAAAGGTACTGACTAAATTATTGTATTAATATCTAATTCTTTAAATCTTGAAGCAACATGAATAGTGTTTACATTTTCTTAATAAACTAGAGGGAGCTAACTCTAGGCTTGCTTTAGGAAGGAAGACATGAACTGGGGCTTTGGCTTTTTAGATTTTCATTGCCCCTAAAAGAAACCTTTGGATGAGGGCTTATTTATCAGTGACTGCATGGCTGGCTGAAGCTGTAGCCTCTGCTCTGACCCAGCACAGTAATCACCTTGCTAACCCAAAATTCAAAATGGAGCATTCAGGTATGAGTTCTTATGTCAACAGACACTTTCCTTTCTCTTAGATGAACTTGCAGTTAGAATTTGATCATTTGATAGCAAGTGTGTAGCGTACACACATGCACAAATGCATCTGTAGGCCAGAGGCCAACGTAAGTGTGTTCCTCAGTCTCTCTCCAACTTATCTTCTAAGTCTCTTTTACTGAAATGGAGCTCCTTGACATGGAGACTGGCTGGCCATTAAATCCTGCAATGGTGGAATTACAGGTAGGTATGTGCTACCACGCCCAGGTTTTTTTATATCAGTGTTGGGAATCTAAAGTCCTCATGCTTACACAGCCATCTTCCCAGCTCCCGAT